TACAAGAAAGGCGATGAAAATTTTTTTTAAAAATTATCGTCCGATCAGCTTGACTAATACTGATTACAAAATAATTGCATTTATATTTGCAAAAAGACTGCAAAAAGTTATTGGAAATATAATCAATGAAAATCAATCAGCATATATTAAAGGGAGATATATTGGTGAAAATGCCAGAATTATTTTAGATATTTTAGAATACTGTGAAGAAACTAATAATGATGGAATATTGCTATTTTTAGACTTTGAAAAGGCTTTTGACTCGATAGAATGGATTTTTTTTATTCAAAACTTTAGAGAAATACAACCTAAAAACAATTTTTTTAAAATGGATGAAAATTCTTTATAAAAATCCAGTTTTTCGATTAAAAAACAATTGGTGGGTATCCAAAACATGCAATATGTCTAGGGGAATTCGTCAGGGGTGTCCGATCTCGGCGATATTATTTCTATTTGTCGCTGATATTCTAGCTCTTAAAATCAAAAATAACGACCAAATTTCTGGGATTAAACTTTCTGATAGCAGTAGAGAATATAAACATGTCCATCATGCTGATGATCTTACATTGTTTCTTAAAAATGTGGAATCAATGAAAGAATGTCTTAAAACAATACACGAGTTTTCAAATTATGCTGGATCGAAGCTGAATATAGATAAAACTGAATGCATATTGACAGGGGCATTGAGGCATACTAGAGACAAAATAGAAGGTATAGAAGTTAATACTTCATCACTTAAATGTTTGGGCATATACATAGGTATAAATAAAGAGGAATGCTATAGAAAAAATTGGATTGATAAATGCGAAAATATGCAAAAACTCTTTGAATCATGGAAAAAAAGAAAACTTACTATTTTTGGTAAGACTGAAATCATAAACAGTTTAAGTATAAGTAAATTTATCTATGTTGCGTCTATCTTACCTATTCCGCGAGAAATCGAACTAAAAAAAATAAGTAAATTTATTTTCAACTTCCTTTGGGGTTCCAGAGACAGAATTAAGCGAAATACATTAATTGGTAAAATAGAAAAAGGGGGGATTGGAGTAGTAGATATACTTACCAAGTTCCAAGCATTAAAAGCTGTTTGGATACCAAGACTCGTGAATAATGCTAATCACAACTCTATGCTTTCCCACCTTGACAAATTATTAGGGGTGTATAATGTAAATTTTGAATATATATTAAAAACCAACAGTACTGGTTTGAACGACTTTGACTCCTTTAAAAGACTGCCTTTGTTCTATAAAGAAATCTTTATTTTTTTTAATAAATGTAAAAAACTTCCCGATATAAAGAAAATGAGTATTAACGAAATTTTACAAGAACCGATCTGGAATAATAGACTGTTTTTGTATAAGGGAAAAACGGTATTCTTTAAAAATTGGGTTAAAAATATAAAATATGTAAAAGATCTCTTTTCAGATGGTGGATTTAAAACCATCGAAAATACAGGAGAAGAAATTCAAAAAAAGTCAAATCTATTGTGTGAATATAAAATGATCAAAACAATTTTTAAATATATTAGAGAAAAAAGTGAAGATCAACAATATAAATTTATTAACATAAAGAACAAAAGGTATTTTAATTTTCATGGATATTATTGTAGGGCTGAAAGCAAGAAATGTAAATTTTTCTATGATATCCTTCTAAGTAAAAAAGTTATTCCGCCAAAACATCAGCGAATCTTGGAGAAATGTTCAATGTTAGTCAAAAAATGTGGAAATCTATTTATCAGCAAAAGATTAAACTGGCTATAGATAAAAACATTGCGGAATTCAATTACAAATTATTGCACAATTTACTTTGTTGTAAAAAATATATGGTAAAGTGGAAAAAGGATACCACAGACAAGTGTTTACTTTGTTCTGTTGTAGAAGACATGCAACATCTTATTTTTGAATGTAGAAATGTTAAATATATATGGGATATAGCTTCAACTGTGTTTAAAGTTAACATTCAATGGAAAGACATTGTTATCGGTTTTTATTTTGAACGTAACCAGAAAACATACTTTCTGAACAATTTTATTTCCTTTATTGCATTAAAAATATATAAATTCAAAATGTTTTGTAGAATAGAAAATCTTGACGAAACAGAATATAATGTTGTACATCATATAAAAAAATCTACAGTATTTTGGTGTAAAGTAATTAAGTTTTGTAATTATGCTCTAAATGTAGATATTATTGGAAAGTTTATAAAATTACTGTAATTTGTTATAGTATATAGATATAAGTTTATAAAACTAAAAAAAAAAATCTGTTCATGTAATCTCTATGTATTAAATTAATTTATTTTTGTAGGAAAAATTAATTAATTCCCGCTGCTAGACGGTTTCTGTCCCTCTAGTAGTGCTGCTGAAGGGGAACCCAAGGACTGAGTGAATGTATGTGATTTCCCCTTTCGACAGCAATGGGAATGTATTAATATTCATACAATAATAAATAAACTTGTACTTTTCTTCTCTTCTGGTTGTAAAATTAATGTATATTTATATATGTATGAATATGTGTGTGTGTACAACTCTATAATTATCAATATTTATTTTTCATCTTCAAGTAATATTATTATCATGTCATCATCCTGCGAGATGATGTAGGACTAATTTATGCTATAATTGTATTTCGATGGAGCTTAGTCAGGGCCCCATCCCTGGCAGCTGCCATAAATAGGGAATTCAAATGTTATAGTATAGGTCTGGGCAATAAAATTTAAAAAAAAAAAAAAGTATTAAGGATAAAATTTACTTTGTGAAAGTGCAAGGATATGTGTTAATCAAACAATCAAATGCTCTTGCAACATATAAGTCATGATATTGATTAGAAAATTTTAGAAAATATGACCTTCAAATCTGTGTCCCCTTTAAAGCCAAATATCTACACTTTTGAATGATGCCGATTTTTATTATCATGTTGCGATATAAATACTTCGATAATTGCCTTACGTTGACGTCATATTTGAAATCATCAAAAAGGAAAAACCATACTTTTATGATTTTGCAATTTTTTTAAAGATATCTTTCTTTCGTAAGACTTCAATGGAACAAGTCCCTCTCGTGTGAATTTTGCTAAAAATTGATAGTTTTATAAAAAATTTCAAGACATGTCAATTAAAAAATTGTATGAATTTTCCTAGAGCTGCTTTTAACTAGTATGTTCATTTCACCATGCATTAGACACAAATTAACCATTCATCGATCATTATACACTGTATGGCATTAATTATTTTATTGTTCAAAAATACATGCACCGATCATGACGGCGGCTTTTTCCCAAATTAGAAAAATGGTGAATTCTTTCTCCTTCCAAAAAAAAAAATCATTTTTAGCAGCGTTTTCTCATCATTAGCATATTTTATCTTATTTATTTACTTTAATCACATACATACTTAGCCTCAGTTTGATAATATATGGATATCGGTAGGGATATCTCTAGAACTTGTTAAAGTACGAGGGTTTCAGATTCATGGTGAACTCACCCTAAATATGACATTGTGAGAAATTAAAATTCATGCTTTCTTAATTGCCTAAACTAAGTTTATATAAATTCTTTTACTTATATGATCTCCTAAATGCCAATTGCGATGTCGTAAATGTTCCCCTTTTTTCTTAAAAAGTTGCAAATTTTCAGTAGAATTTCCTTTCAGACGATATAGACCACATGCAATGCCCACAAAAAAATTAAGATATTTGATTTCTCAAAGATATTCACACAAACATTTCCGAAAATTGAAGTGGGCGACACTATTTCTTAAAAGAAAAATAAAGAAATGTTACAATCTTGGATATGTAAAAATTGATGACCTCGTTTTTAGCAGAATTGTCATCCTTTATGCCAAATTCGTTCAAGATTTATCACTTTTGTATATTCAACTTGTATTTAAGCAAATTTCAAAACTTTTTTTTAAAAAATCGCATTTTCATGGCATAATAAATACAAATAAAAATTGTACCTTCTTCTTCTTTTTTTAAAATTAATAATGTTTAAATAAAATTTTAAGTTCCTTTGAACTGGTATTTTTTCAGCATTGATAATTTAAGTTATATGGTTTTTTACCCTAAATAGTCTGTCAAAGTAAAAGCATCTGAATTTCATTCACTGTATTTTATAGCATGTGATGCTTCAAAGAATTACCCTGTATCATTCTGTTCTGCACACACCCATCAATAGACTTTTGTATGTTAAGGGGGTAGATAACATAATAAAATTAAAGTGAACGGATGTTATAAAGATTGCTTATATTATCTTTTTTCATCGAGTTAAAAGTGTTATTGTTTCGTAAGGTCACGAAAGATTTTGTTTAGTTTGTCCACTTGTCTGAGTCTTATCAACTTTTTCTTCATTAATCAAACGCAAGTGACACAACTCATGGATATTAATAAGATTGCGTCAAACATAGATCATATTACGGAATTTTTAAACAAAAGGAAGATGGAGTGGCATCTACAAAAAAAGGAAATCTGTTCATTTTAGTTTCATAATTTATGTTAAAAAACAGTTTTTGATACCCATTTTTATACAAAAATATTGAATCTTGCAATTTATGGCCATTTTATCGATTTTGAAGATCTATCCCGCAACCTTATTTTATGGTCATTTATTTTAACGGTTCATTTATAGGAACAGGTATCCAAGAAGTGCTCCAAACTTTTTTCAGCCCTGTCGGAATTACATGAGATCTACGGGATAAATGTTTTAGAAATAACAAGATTTTTTGCACACATATACTTTGTTTGGAAGAGAAAAATTAGCATGACAATTAACAAGACTTCATTTTGTCATTTTGGCTTAATTATCTGATTATAGAGGGTTGACGTACACGCAACTGAGTAAAAGAAAACTGAAGGTATATGGAGAGACCAGACATTTTCTATCGTTATATATCACTGTAGGACTTGCTCCTTTATACATTCTATACATAAAAAGAATCGACGTTTTAGGTACTCTTTTACAAGACATATTTTTGAAAATTTTATAATTCAGAGAACAAAAAGATGTCTACTTTGTATCACTAATACCTCCATACGTCCACCCAGAGAAAATGCTTCCAACTTGATCACATACACGTCTATCCACTTTCTGGTCAAGATGTTTAGAAGCGTCCACCACCACCACATAGAAAGCTCTCCTGGTAAGGTAAATCTGATGACAGGCGTAGTACGCACACTGTCCACCAAAGTCAAACAAAGTCAGAGTCTTTGCATCATCATTTCTAATATGATATTCTCCATTTTTGCCATCTTCGCATTTTGTCCTTGCTGAAAAAAAAATTAAGCGCTCTTGACATTAAAGTTTGGTTGTTGATGGAATAAATGCATTATAAACACAGCGTTTGTTACACAAACCGGCATAATAAACAGTACTTAATATTCAACAAATAATCTGCACTAGCTATAGTATATCAAAAGCATTACTAGCATTAAAGTTAGAACAACCGTAATTCAGTCAATGTTATTGCTAAATACAGAGAGAACAATCATTTCAGCAGAAATAGTTTTTAGACTATATTTTTATGTTGCAATTTAACTATATATAGACTAATCCATCTTATTTTTTTCTTAAGGGGATGAAGGACACATGGTCACATGACTCTGTTTAACTACGTCATAGTCTCCGTGTATATAACTGCAAAACGTGTAAACCATCAGTTCTTGTATTAATATTTGACAATTTGTTTACTTTGATTACCATTTTATATATAAAAAAATAAAAAGTGTCAACATTCTTGTAAACATTAACAAATTATGAAATTGTTTGATCCACTCCTCTGTTTCTCCAAACTGCGCGTCCAACAAGTCGGTGACGTCATACACGATCTGTTAGTACAGCAAGATCATACTCGGTGAATACAGGGGCGGTATTATTATGTAAGAACAGGTCATAATCAGTATGTGATGAAATATTTTGAGAAACGGGGAACACAAAAAATGTTTTTGCATTGCTGATGACGGAAATCTTATGTAGGTATATCTTATTTCGCTTATTTAGCTTACGCGTGACGTCATAGTTGGTTTTTCCCGTACTCGAGAAATGTAAACATGACACGGTTTTGTCATGCTTATGCCTTCTTTCATGATGTCCTGTGCAATATTGAGGTCAGCTTCACCATTCGAAATTTTTACAGTTAATCAATAATACGAAGGACTTGCATTTCAAGGTAAATTTAAAAATATTGAATGATAGAATTTTTTGTAAATTACGTTTTATTGTTGTTTAAGTTGTCTTAAAAAGTACGTAATTTCCCCTATCCAGTTGCAGAGCGATAGAAGAAACTTGCTTTTTCGAATTTTAAACCCTATTCATACTCTGAAATATTTTAAAAGATACATGTCCACTTACATATTTTTTATAAATGCTTAAAAAATCCCATTGTGGACAGAGTAATGAGCCCGGAGACATGGAGAATTGAAACTCCACTTAGATACTGTAGGACATAGTATTTGTCAATCAATATCTCGAAAATAAGGTCAGAAACCTAATGATATTTCTGCTTTAAGATATGTGGGACATACTTAATTAGAAATATACAAAATATAAAAATAATTGAATGACAAGTATTTTTTCAGCTCAAGGTGTTTCTTCCCCTTAAGTTAAAAGGCTTATTACTTCCTATTAAATGCAGATACTATGTCTACATCCTGTAGCATTACAACCATTGATGCTTCTTCTAGTAACAATGACCCATTTAATTTTGCATAGGATCAGTGCATCTTCTATTATAGTACACGCAAGAAATAAGTCAGCAATGCATTTAAGTAATTCACCATAATTGCAGAACCACAAAATAACTTTTGTATCGTAACATAAAAAAAGAAGTAGGTCTGATTTTTCTAGGAACAACTTTTGAGGTCAACTTAGTCACTCTGGTGAACTTTTTCTCTCTGTTTGTTGTTTGTCGTCGTACGACATGCATTGTGCGTGGTTCGTCGGTCCTAAACTTTTGAACAAATTCGGCTTTTTTTCTTGACACACTGAACCATTTTCAACCAATTTAGCACATAGCATCAATGACTGAATTTGTACAAAAATTGTGAGTTTCATGGTCGATCTTGTCCTCTTGGGGCCTAATGGATTGGACTAAAAGCATCAAAATAAGTGTTATCTTCGTAAACCTTCTTCTTTACTCTTGAACATCAAGCAAACAAACTATTGGCATGATCATAATAAGCGTTGAGCTCTCTATCAAAATTATGAAATTCATGACTCCAGGAACTGGCGTTCTGAAGTTAAAGCAGAGCTCTAATGCATTTAGTGAAAAAGAAAATATACTATAAAAATTTTTATTTCTTTTTCGCCATAGCAGATAAACTAGGTGCATTGTTGCATTGTTATGATGAGCAAGGGTAAATATTCCGAAATTCTGAAATTTTTGGCTCCAGGGCCAGGGGTTCTAGTTTGGGGTGGGGAGGAGATACCTATTTTATAGTGAAAATAAATTATGTCTTTGAAAACCTTCTGTTTTACTGGGTATAAAGCAAAAATAAACTAAGGGCAAAGTACTGATGAGTAAGGGTGCTTCTTCAAAAAGTGTGAAATTCATGGTCCCTGGGTCAGGGGACCTTGGGTTAGAATTGGGTATTATTGATTATATAGTAAATGTGCATTTATTCTTTGAAAAATTCCTCTTTTATTGGGTACCTAGAAGATAAACTAAGTGCATGGTTATGATGAGAAAAGGTGCCTCTTCTAAAAATAAGAATTTGTGGCTCCAGGGTCAGGGGTTTTTTGTTGTAGTGGTGGGGAGCGGCGCTAAATAGATTATGAAAAGAACAAAATTCATTGTTCTTTAAGAAATATTCTTTTCTTCTCCTGGATAGTAAACGGTCACACTAAGTGTATTGTTATGATGAGAAAGTGTGTATATTCCAAAGGTGTGAGTTTCATGGATTCTGGGTCAGAGGTTCTGGTTTTGCGGTGTTACCTTTGATTCTATAGTAAAAATGCATTATTTTTTTTTAAGAAGAAAAAAATGTCTGCTTTTGTGTATCTGGTAGATAAATTGAGTGCATAATTGTGATAAACAAGGGTGTGTCTTCCAGAGTTACGAAATTCGTGGACCCTGAGTCGGGGTTTTTGGTGGTGTTGGTGGTAGGAAGGGGGGGTCGATTGATTATATATTGAAAATGCATTTTTTCTCTGAAGATTTTCTTCTCTGCTCCTGGGTATTTAGTAGATAAACACAGTGCATAGGTATGATGAGCAAGTATGCTTCTTCCAAAATTATGACTTCCATAGCACTTGGATAAGGGGTTCTGGTGTTAGAGTGGAGCTATGTTGAATCTTTAATAAAAATGTGTTTTTTTCTTTGAAACTATTCTTCTCTCTTCATGGGCATCAAAGGGACAGAGTACAAATTGTAATAAGCAAGGTAATTTTTAGCAGATTTTTGAAATTCTAGACCACTTGATCAAGTTTTCTGGTGCTAGGCAGGGCTCTTTTTTGTATTCTACTGAGAGAAGTTATTACATTTTGCTATCCACCTATGATGATTAATAGTGATTCTCTGTAACCACTTAAACTTCTTTGCCACGCATGGTCGCCGATTTTTATGAAACTTTGCCCATTATTACAACTTGACACCAGAAACATATCAAATAATAATTCGTTGCTATGTGTCTTGGATGCCATGGTACCAGCCAGAAAAGTTGGAAAAATTGAGATTTTCAGCTACATTGAATCTTTATTAAGCCTTAATAAAGACTAAGAAAAACAAACAAACCATTCTCACAAAAACATGACACCTTGTTGCCAATTATGCTATAAAGAAACTATTTAGAATTTATCTCTTAGTAAGTGGTAATTATAGGTACGTTTGGAATACATTTTAGATGCTGAAAAATACTGAAAAACGCTCAATATTTACTAGTGATAGGTGTTACATGATCATACACAATCAACAACGTAAGAAAAACAATAAAAATATTTGACTTTAAGTAATTAGGTATTGGCAATATTATTCTAAAAATAACTTTCATGTTTGCCATGGTAACACAGTATAACAATGCAAAATCTATTGCTAGGATTGGGTTAATGCTACCATCTTGAGGAAAAACAATAAAATTCACGACTGGCACAAATACATCCTTAGGACCTTGCAACACCGACAACGTAAGAAAAATTGTGATTAACTGTTACTTTGCAGTGTAACAATGGAAACAATTTACCAGTGGTTTAAAGTGATATGTTTTGTTGCTTTAGGAATGTACTTACCATTTAATCAAGAAACATATTATCTGACTCACCTTGAATAGTATTTATCTGGTAGAACTTAAGTTGAATATCATATATTGATAAAGTTTGATGAAAAATACAACACTTTGCTATATTTACCAAGAAGGGAAAATGTTCGGTTTTGTTAACTTTATATCAATATTATACCCTATGTGCCAGCATTTTGCATCCAGTTAGAGATTGGGTGGTAGTCAAAATTGAAAGTCAGGTTAATTGTTCATAAATATCAATCATAAAAGTTTTGGGAATCTACAAACAAGGGTACATATCCAGGGAATCAAAATATTTTTCAGATTTTTATGCATAATTGTTCGGCTAATTTCCATAGCAAGGCTCTATCAAAGGAATTTAATTTGAATTTTTTTGAAATGTGAAAATTAGGGTCACGCCAACACCTTTAAAAATTGATCATCAGTTATATAGAAATATGCTTTTTAAAAAGACAGGATAAGATTAAAACACTAAGAGAGTAAATTGAAAATCACTTCGTGGCATTAAAACCATGGCAACTGTTGCCAACCTATAAGAAATATCATATCTCGTCCTTGGTATACGTCACAAGGATATTTTGTCTATTATTTGCTTGCATTTCAACCTATAATTGTTTTTATTCTTAAGTGTATGACTTTATAAAATTAAATGAACAACATTATTATTTTTGAATACATTGATTCCATAGTAGCGTATGTAATAGTTGATTTACCAAACATGTTTATCATGCATTTAAGACATCAGGTCTTCAACTTTCAGAAACAGTCATTGTCACTTGTTTGCTTTGCTGCAAAGCTGTCTCTATCATTATTTATTGCCTACTGAAACAATTTAAATTAAAATTAAACTTAATGGAAAGTTAACTTTTGACTATTTCAAGCGAGAAGATATATTCGCGCTTGCACATGAATATGATATAAGTAAAAAAAAATTCTGTTTATGAGAAAAAAATGTAAAACTTGCAGATTACTTTAAACCTTCTTACTTTTCAAAGATTTAGTTTCATCACAGACTTCAAATATTTTCTCATGCACCTCCAATCCCTCAGTAGATTTTACTTTCTTAATCTCTTCTTCACTACAACCGAGGAGGCGTTTAAGAAGCGTGGTTTTCCCCGCCCCAGCACATCCTACAATCATCCCCCGGGCATGGTGGACTGTCTGTGTTTCCCTCTTTGCGTACACCACATACCGCTCTCTGGCCTCCTGGTCCCACTCTAGTATTTCCTTGGGGACTCCCACTGTATCAAAGAAAATCAACAATATCAAAGAACAGGGCATCAATGATTCATATTTTTGTCAGGCAATTTTATGAAATAAACAGTGGAAAGTGATAGCTTTATTCCCTTGAGAAGTAATTTCCAATTGGAAGGAAGGTCATGAGAGCTTATCCTTGAAAGTACGTTAAATAATTTCTTTTAATATACATTTCACTTAATTGCTACAACTTTATCAAATTAATATTCCTATATTTGGTAAATTGGCAACATTTTTATTGTTTTGTATCATTTCCCTTCCCTTGGTGTTCTGATCAAGTGTCTGAAAAAACATTTAATTCTCTTCTTCTATGTGGTCCGTCAAAGTGGATTTAAAAAAAAATGCCATAACATTTCATGCAAATCAGTTAAACAAATACACTATGGAGATATGGTATCCAACAATCCAAGCAAACTCTTACGCTATACATTTCAATCGAATTAGCATCTGGTCCTTTGAATCAACCTGTTTACATTGTAAAGTCTAATTCAAAATTGTCGTAGATATAGTTTGATTTAATCCCTCTTGGAAAACTTTATAGATCTTCTAAAGACTTAGACAATACAATGATTACCATGAAAAAATTTTAAAACATTTTTTAAATTTTAATTATGACCCAGGTCTCAGCACACCATCTTTTCAGTACAATAATTTGAACAGTTTTTTTTTGAAACTTCGTTTGGGGAACATAATGAAGCTAAAAGCAATTTAAGGATTCTACAATTGAATTCACAAATTATTCATACATGTAATTCTGAGCAAATGTGAGATTATATAAATCTATAAACTCATGTTGCCGTGCATGTTCTTGTTTATAATTGATGGGTCGGAAATTTACTTAAGTGAATTTTAATAATTCTATGTTAACTATACATATAATGAATCATAATTCATGAATTATGATAGATTTCATAATGCTGAAAAGGCGTATTAATTGTCTTTGTTACCTTACTTAGGGCTTGAATACTGTTCGTTATTTCAATATTTCATTACTTATGTCATCTTAAAAAAGATCGGTCTTTAAAATTGTTTAAGCAGCAAGATAGTTCTCTCTGGAGATTATCCCGTGCAAAACAAACTGCCACATGAAGCCATGTTACATAATTACTATACTTTTATTATACGCATTTTATTGTTAAAATATTGACATGTGCATGATGCATGATAAAATTAAAATTAAGATAATTAATCACAAAGACGCTTTCAAAATAATTTCAATAACATTCAAAATGTTTTGATAACCTTATATTAAATGTAATAAGAAGAATAAAGAAACTTTGTACTGTACAACATAAACTATATGCAAATACAAGACTAATATAAGATTGTATCAGGATAAAAATTCCAATAAATCTTAGAAAAATATTTATTATACAGAAATCATACTTACAACGTTCACTGATCCTGCGATGAATCCCCCCGTCAGACACGGTACAGTGTGTGATGATGTCCAGCTGTAGTTTGTCTATGAAGAGGTCGTACATTTTCTCTGGTCTGTCCGGTATATACAGACATCTCTCTCCCTCACTCCTCTTATAGTTCCAGGACCTGCCGTATTCTGATATCACGTCCCCTGATGCCGTGGTGAGGAAAAACTCCAGATCACTGTCCTCCACCAAACACTCCGTAACAAAGGCGTACATGACGTCATGTCGGATATCGTCTGATGTAAACGTTGTAACACCATTGTGTGTTTCTGTGATTGCATCAGGTAGATCTACCAAGTCGTCATCAGTACTATCAGTGAAATATCTGTCTCTGATTTTGTCCCTTGTGATTCTGTGTGATTGTACATTGAGATTCAGTTGATATTTCTCAGTTAACAGTAAGCAGTACAGTAGACATCTGACTTCCGGCGTATAGATATGGTATTTAGCTGAAATGAAAGCATTTCAGTGGGGATTAAAAAAATGTATATATTTACAACTATTGGCTGCCTTTTCCTTTCTTTGAATATAAATCATAATTAATCATTTACTTTCTGGTATTTTAAATCTTAGTAAACGTTTTGTGCGAAATCTGCTTTTATAAAATTTCTATTGTGACCAATATAACACATATTATTATTTTTTCGTAAATATTTAATTAGAAATTCCTTTATTATACAAAAAGTTAAAAATAAAAGTATTGAAAATTCATGAACAAAAAAAAACTGGATTTAAGGATGTACAACACCCCACCATCAAAAATTCCTGTCGTTTATTTATTTATTATTATTACCGTATATACTCGCCTATAAGTCGGTTGTGATTTTTGAGGTTATTTTGAAGGGATTTGTCATTGACCCGCCTATAAGTCGGTACAACCTTTTGCCAGGATCGGTGGACAATTTCAAATCAATGCTCTAATGTTCTAACATGTGTTTCAAATATTTTGAGAAATTACGCCGATATTTTATCTCTCTTTTTTCTTCTTTTATAAATTTCATATAAATACTCTAATGTATTTACCTGTGTTCAAATAATATGTTAAGATATGACATCGGTAATTAATATTTTTTATTTTTCAACAAACCAAACCACTCCCATTTTGGTTTCTTTCTATACTGTTTTGTTTAAGCGTTAAATCCCTTGTCTTGTATATTTTATACATCGATCTCGATCATTGGCGGATCTCTGTTTCTTTGGCATGGTGATGAACTATGTAACGAGTCTACCAACATTTTGATGATATTTAATTAGGAGGTGCCTAATGTCCAAGCCATATCTATAGTTTTTAATAACGCTACGTTTGATTTTTTTATTAGCAATCATCGTCTCTTAATTACTGTATCCCTTACCTGACATCATGTTTATTTAGTGGCACGCGCCCCGAGAAAATTGTGTACCACACATGGGAAGCATTTTCATAAACAATCGAGTTTTAATAGACTCCAGAATAATATTCTGAATTATTTTTTAAGAATATCATATCTGTTGTCAAAAACATTGCAGACGGTACACGTGTACATATAATTATACATTAATGCTAAACGTATTATATCGGGTTTGCAATTCTATTTTACCGATAAACGATAGATTTACAGTAAGTCACAAGTTAATTAAAGAAATATTTTTGTTAATAATTAATCAAATAAATAATATACACTTAAGATGAAAATAAAATCATTAAAACGCGTAAATACTTTTACTTTATATATAATCTAAGAATACATAAATAATATAATACGTTCAGACATTTCTCAACGATAATCGTCGAAGTTATGTAAAAAATACTACATTTCGTCGTCCAGAAAAATACCAAGCTTTTGATGACTCGCCTATAAGTCGGACATAAAGATTTGGACCAAAAGTTAACTCCCAAAAAACCGACTTATAGGCGAGTATATACGGTATTATTATTATTATTTTTTTTTTTTTTGGAAGTTCCAAAATTTACCTATTTTTGGATATAACGACAAGAAAAAAATCATCCAATAGTTCAACAGTTCATGAGGATTATTTTTTTTTTTTTTTTTTTGGGGGGGGGGGGGGGGGGAGTTGTTAAGCCAAGTGTTTACATTTGCTAAATCATTGAAAACAAAATTAAAATAATTTGGTAATGGAAAACAGAATTATCTCCCTCGGTATGCTCTTTCGTTAAGGAGGGGGATTTTGTTTACCCGTAAACCGGCAGGTGGGACAGTTATTTGTGTTGAATACGTACATCATCGATATGCCGGTCTATCACAACTGATTGGCGGAATGCACTCTTCAACCCGAAAATTACCGAATTAAAGTAAACATAAGTCGAAATCGTAACAGAAGAAAATATCAGTGGATAAGACTTGGAGACAATGGAAGAGATATGGATCTATAATAATTGCATGTCGGCATTCTGATTGCCTTATAATAATTTCAAAGAGCCCACTAACTTTTTGGGTGCAAAACACAGTTTTATGTATGACGTTATAAGGACGTTATCTGATGAGCTGATGGAGAGGCAAAACTGACCCCTATAAAGAAATAATAAGGGCTTATTACATAGACTTCTAAAAATCAATGGAAAGATAAAATTTTAATTTTTATAAATACATGTATCTAAGTATAATACATTGATCAATTACTAATTGGGTGCATTTTACAGATGAAACATGAGGGATATTGGGTAGTTTATGCATCCATTTGCAATACACCTATGCATTTTTAGCTCCCTTGATCAACAAACAGTGCAAAAATGTGACAAAATAAGTTATGTACATTTCACAGAACAAGTCCTTAGGTCTTTTTATGTACTTTTAGGGTACATTTTACAGCTTTTAAAAGAGCTTTACCTGCTACTCAAACAAGCAATTCTACACAAGTGAAAACCGGATGTTTTGACAGTCATTCTACAAAAAACATGGCCAATACTTGATATCGCGATTGCTTTACTTAATGGAACTCTTTCGCGATGAAGGTAGGAAATGTCTGTTAGCTGGGGGCAATGTGCTGTTGCATACAACTCGAGATTAAGCATTGTGGATTTTTGATATAAATGAAATTCGTCCTGGTGAAATATCTTGCAAAACATTCGCTGAATCACGCTTATAAATTTTAAGAGAACCTAGTCCTCATGTGTTACATTTTTATTGATCTTTTTCAGTAAGCCGACTCTTCTAATTAAATTCATCCATTTCTTTCTTATTGTAGTTACTTTTGAAAGCTGATAAAATACTTTTAACATCCCAAATTAGACAACTTACTATCTGAAGTTCAATCCTTTGCAATACTTAGTACTTTCGGCATCCTAATTTTCGATTCATTTGATTGTCACTAGTAATTCATGCCCCGGAAATCTCACAAGGTTTAGAGTTTCCTCGACTTCGCCGCAAAAGAGCGGCGCTAAGTTAGATAACTGTGAGGTAATCGCGATGCAAAGTAGGGTAGGATGGTGTAATTTCGACCGATTATATTTATGTACTGAAGATTTCTCCAAGTATGTCATAGTCTGTTATGCTACAGCTTTTACTAGATCTTTTTTCCTTCGGGAAACCTTTTATTTTTCAGATTACATTGTTTTTATATGTATTATTTGTCATAATAAAAAATAAATGCGTTCGATTTACAAGATATGTGTGTTGGGTAACTTCGACCACGCAAGGGGTTACTTCGACCGCTGCGCCCATATAAACGGAATAATTTGCGTCACCCCTAATATAAGAAAAAAATATATAAATTCAAATTATTCTTTTGTAAAACATAAAAGACCGATGTAAAAATACTAACAAAAAGAGACGATAATTTTCAAAATGTGACTAATCTGAAGACATCGAATGCACCTATCGACGCTGTTTACTGATTGCTGCGAATGTTCATGCACACCTAGGCATAATTAATCCGCAAGAAAACTGAACAGACGAGTTTTCACTGTTGTAGAACAAGTTTCTACTGTGTATACGTGTACTTAATACTTTTTTTAACTTTTTTAATACGGTCAGGAATTCTTTTTGGTAAAAGTCATATTGCTGCAGATTGTATTGCGTCATTTTTCATTGGTCGAAGTAACCCACTGACGCTGTATCCATGCAGGGGTAACCGGCCGATTTCTGTTCAGCCGATTTGCATTTTAATTTGTAAAAAATAAATACTTGAAATTAAAAAGGCATATATTTCAGTTGCAAAAATATATCTGATAAATGTCACGTAAGGGATATCCATTGATTAACTCTTTATACAGATTTTCAGAGATAACGATTTCTTGTATTGGCTAATAAATACGTGAAATACTCATCTGTAATTTAAAGCCTCTTCTTGGATATCGTAATATTCAACTAACAACTTAATTACGCTCATTGAAATAAAATTATTATTGACACAATACTTTAAAAATACTTTCTGCATAAAATAGATGTACGTACACAATAATAAGGTATAAACAAACTATTAAAAGGTACATGTATTTATGAATGGTCGAAGTTACCCCGGTAGTGGAAGTTACACCACCTACCCTATTAAGAATTTTATACGTCGCTTACATATTTACCGTTGTAATATTTTATCTTATTTTATTAATGACATTATCGATTTAAAGATCGATTTCAACTCTAAGACTTAAGATATACCTTTAAACATCTCTATTGTGGACGATCAACTTAAAGAAAATATATATAATTGTTTAATCAAATTTTGGGCATTTTTTTTATTTATTGGTTTTCTATAACAGTTCACACCACTTAGTTTGAGTATTTATTATACCATACTTAAAAATCAATTGTCTCATGTACCATGTACTTTCAATGCCAAATGAAATTCCAGTTCAACTTATTAAAGCATAATTGATGTTCAAACTATAATGAATAAAAGCAACAGGAGCTAAAATTAAATCAAGGCATGATTTGTGTGTGGGTGGGTGGGTGGGGAGGGAGTTACAGAATATATTGCTTCATTTTTTTTTTCGATTTAATGTAATGCATATTACTCAAGATGGTCATTCAAAAGGTGTATCAGTATATAATTTATCATAATCATATGGTGTAATTCAAATAAAAAAAAATTGCAAAACATGATTGACCTTTTGAAGAAGAAAACATAATAGTACAGTATTTACCCATAAAGAATCATTGCTTTTTTTTAAATTAACAATTCAGTGACAAGTAGATTGGGTGGCACAATTTTAAGAGTGAAGGCCTCAGTTTGTACTAAATTGCAAAGTAAGGAGTTGATTCTTATGTTTTGGGATCAAATCCCACAATGGGATTTTAAGTCTGGTCGATGAGGACTTATAAACCATTGAATCACCATTTTGCAGTAGATACAAATAGGAAAAAAAATCTCTTGCTAATACAGAAGTGCGGTTATATGGTCTGTAAATTTGCTAAATTTATTTGTAGAGTCTGTAGCCCTTTTGTAAGTAGGATTTGTGTGGCTAAATATTCTTTTAAAAATGTTCCAATGCTTATCATTGTAAATGGATTGATAGTATGTATCACAAGAAGGAAAACTTTATCATGTATATTTAGAAATATGTTGTAACCACAAACATAACAGGACAGACTACAGAAGCAAGCCTTTAGTTGAAAAATGTTAATTTTCAGATATTTTATTTTTACTTACAGTTGTATTTGTATTTAAAAACATTGCATTTGTTCGATTAAACATATTTTTGTATTGTAGTTATTGTATCAATAATGTATATGACTTTCTGGAAGTTATTATATTGTGGCTACGGACTATACAGGGCTACGGACACCAATCATTCTTCTATAACTTCTTTTGGTGTTAGCGCAAAAGCTATTCATTACTGTTTTTTACTTCACTAGTAACTGTGAAAATATTAAACAAGAGCATGATCAATTCTACATTGTTTTGTTGAACACAAACTATAATGAAATATGGGGCTACGGACTATACAAAATATTAGACCAGGCCATCATTAAAAATATCTTTCTTTCCCCTAACCCGACCTTAAAATCTCAAGTTGGGTGGGTAGGTAAATTATTTTTTTTTTTTTTATCTGACAGCAGTTTTGAAAATACATTCTAAAAAATTGAATAATATATTTATTAGTAAGAAATAACAAAAGAAACCGATTTTTAAACCGAATATCATACAAATGAAGCAACATGTATGGTGCATTAATTCACAAATATTATTCATTTGAACTTGTGAAATATCTCAGGCCAGCGTAAATTTATTGAAATCGAATATTTACAAAAAGACAAGATTCGCAAATACATGTACTCAACCATCGGACATCAGAGTATATTTTTCATTTTTCAAACCTACTATCATCTTCGAGTTCTTACACAGACAAAATATCAAGGGCCTCGAGTGGCGCAGTGATTTCAGTGATTTCAGTGTTTCGTTTTGGAGTCACAACGTAATTC